CTCCCAAACCGTTGGTCTTACGGGAAAATTGCATACAACCTTTTTTATAGAGAACGACGAGATCTACAATCTTTATATAAAACTTTTTCGCTAGCGTCAACAGTTTACGAGCAATTTGCGAGAAACTGTGTTTTCGTTTTTCATCAATAACTTGTAAACTATTGACGTTATCGAAAAAGTTTTATATAGAAATTGTAGATCTCATCGTCTTCTACAAGAAAGGTCGTTTTTCTAAGGTACATAAACTTTTTGGATTGACTGTATAGCCAATACATCCTTAAAAGCTGTACTTAGTGGGAATTCGATCAGGGTAATCGAACGCACGAGACTGATCTGATGAATTGAAAATATTTATTTCGTCGTAATTACATGCGCTTAGATTTACAGTTTATTCGAGTGAGTGGTTACGCGTGCGCTAGAGATCGCATGGGTCATTACCGAGTGTTAATTGCGTTGAGGAATGTCGACCGCAAACCCGCGGTCGTGTCCAAATTCCTTTCACACAAGATCGATAGTACACCATTCGTTTCCGTTTCTGTTTCATTCCGGCTTACCAATTATGCAGCCTCTCTGCAACGATATCGGCACCATCGTCCCCAAATCGAACGCAAGCTTCCCCTTATACTAGATTTACCATTTCATATACTTATTGCTAAAATAATCATATAGATAGAACCTATCGTCTCTGTGCAGATTTGTACTTGTATCTTCACATCAATTTATTAATGAATGCTGCATATTTAAACTAAAGTTTAATCTTTTGACAAGAGATCAAGGATAAACGAAAAGTGTTTAATTAATTAGTTTAGTTCAGAGGTTTCCAATGGGGTCGATATACTCTGAAGATCGATGAAATTTTAAACGGGGTCAATGATGATCAAGGGGTCGATTGTAGGTTGATAGCCGGATATGCACCTGGAACTGATCGTGATAATCAGAATACAGATTCCATTGGTTAAAAAGCAAATGTATTATAAAATTGATAATAGATTGTTTATTGATATAAAGCTATATCATGCAGTAAGGAACAAAACGTATGAAATAAATATAAAGGAAAAATACATTAAAATCATTTAATATACTTTAAAGACGAATTTTGTCATTTTTCTAAAATATATACACTTTTTGTGCAATAAGTCTAATATAAAACACAATAACATAATTAGATAAATCTACAAACAGAATACCAGCTATCTGGTAGCCGCCCTTCTGAGAAATTATTTGTATTTCGATTATGTATGCTGTATATTACAGAAAAAAATGTAAGGGGGGCGATGAAGAAAAGAATTGGTAATCTCTGATCTAGGATAAGAGGAATAGGAGTTCTTTCTTCAATTATCAGCACGGTCGTCTCAAAATCAAATACAAGCTTCCCCTTATATTAGACCTATAGTTCCATTTCATTTATCTATTGTTAAATTAATCGTATAGATAGAACTTATCTCTGTGCAGATTTGTACTTGTATGTTCACATAAATTTCTTAGTGAATGCTGCGTAAGTAAAATAAACTCTGTTCTCTTTTTGGTGAAGGATCAAAGATAAAAGTGTATAATTAATGTTATTGCCTAGCATAGGAGGAACAGTTCTTTCTTTCTGGTTCTAAAGGGAACAGTAGTCCTTTTTTGTCTGTTATCGGTACCATCGTCTCCAAATCAAACGTAAGCTTCCCTTATATTAGATCTATTATTGTATTTATCTATTCCTAAATTAATAATATAGATAGAACCTATCGTTTCTGCGCAGATTTGTACGTGTATGATTACATCAATTTATTAGTGAATTGTCTGTAAATAAAATGATTCTTTTTGGCAAGGGATCAAGGATAAAAGTATTTAATTGGTGCTTTGGTCTAGCATAAGGGGAACAATTTTGGATATGTGGAAGCTTCCTTTTTGGATCATGTAAATACCTAGTGTATTAGCGATGATATGTGCAGCTACCTCAATGTTATCTGTTTATGTTTTTCGCGAATATCATTTCAGGCTTCTGTGTCTTCGAAATTTTTATCTCAAGGTTGAACACGGCCAGCGCAGCAAGCTAATTTAAAGTAAACCGTGACTACCTACACTTCCTTCCGTTATCGAGATTCCTTCCGTTCATCTTCGGTAATTTAATAAATCTTTCGCTCCACAGTACTTGCCGATATATGTACAATATTTCTCCTCTTCGATGACTTGGAAGCGAATCGGAAAATCTTAACTTGAGGGTTTCGACGTTCCACGCGCAATTCCCTGCGACTCGGATTTCTTTTTAAGTTCGCAGAGAATTTCGGTGCGGCATATGATATGGGGAGGTTCTCGTATGCGTCGAAGGGTAAATGTATCCAGAGATCCGTTTAGATAGCTATGTATGTATGTACAAAAAACAGAAAGGAAAAAAGTAATCGTGGCCACGACGGTTGGACTATTTCCCATAGTCCGGTGCATAGTGGTAGGTCCGTCCGTGTGCGAGACACCTAGACCGGGTCTGGCGCAGGTGCCAGCAACTGCATGCTGCTGCTCGAGTGTGCGATCTGCAAACGCATCGATTTTTACGTCAGCTGTTGCGACACGATCGACGATTTTAGTTTTTCTCTTTAAACGGACGAAATAAATTAACAGCCGACAAAAGATTGATCGCGTTATCATTGTGAGTAGCTCTTATTACTTGAGACTATGGGAGGCTCTTTGACGGTCTTAAAATCAACGAGCATCGCAACAGAAATTACATCTAAATTGGGTTGGACGCGAACACGCCACCCTGTCTCCATTTCCCAGAGATAAAAGCGAAGGGAATTTAAGAGGTGCACGCCTCGATCGTGTTCGCCTTCAACTTTGAACAATTAAGCCGGATCGAAGAGAGAAAAGGGAGGCGGAGATGAAAAAGGGCGGGCCGGTTAGAAATACGAATTTACCTGCTGCTTCGGCTGCTTGTACGACTTCCTCGCGTACACCTTCAGAACTCTGCAGTTGCACGCAACGGACAACGCTACAGCTAGTCCCTGCATCCAACCATGAAACAAGACGTATTTCAGTAAATTCGGGTGAAAACGGGTGCCACTATTTTTCGTGATTTTTTAGTTTAGAAACAATCGTGCAGGACGACGATAAGCTTTTCAGAGTGAACTGAAATAATCTCAAGATCGAATAAAACTGTTTCACGTAGCTCTTTCTTACGAGACGCGTTACCCATAACCTGCAGTTTTTGGTTAAAAGTGTCATCGTGTCACTGTTTAATAATTATGCGACATGACGGGGAAGTTGCGAATGAAGCCTCGATAATTGTTTTATAGAACTTTTTCTTATAGGTAACTGAAATTTGTCGGGGTAACGGTTGATGGAACAAATTGTGGGAGAGGCCCGTGGGTAATCGTATGTACGCGTTGCCCACGCGTCTCGGGAGAGCGATAAAACAGCGAAAAACAAAGATCGGGTGGAAAAGTTTGTTAGGAGAAGAAGAGCCGCTGTATATTTCCTTCGACAGGGCTCAGGGGTCGTCCGCTCGAATAACTTTATTGTTCGCCGAAGTATCCGATAGCTGCGAGCTCTCTTCTTTCACGTTACCTTCGATTTCTCGATGGATTCGCTGGAACTTTCGGCGAACTTAATATTTCAGTCCCAGTTACTTTTGTTACGAACTCACTTATTACAGACGCGATGTTTTAAGGCTGTATGAACCCTTAAATAAAAGCAACGACGAAGCATTCGAATTTTAACAGTTATTGCTAGGCCGTGGATTTTATCTATTTATCAGGAAATCAAATGTGTAGAAAGTATGAATACAGCATAAAAATCTACAGAATACCAAACGTAATATCACATTGCAATGTTGAAATGATAAATGAAAATTCGAAACACATTCTTTAAACTGATACTATAAATAGCTTACTTTGCATAAAAATGCACAGTCTAATAAAAGACTGGAAAATTTTATAAATTTCGCGGGGCTATTGAAAAAGTTATTACATCTTGAATTCTTATAATGAATGGAAAACTTTTGATTTAATTTATGAAGAAATATATAATAAAGAGTAAAACCGAACCAACACCTTTTAGAACTGAATACCTTTTTACAGATATCTAATTAATGATTTTACACAAAGCAAAGCAAGAAAAGCAGACTTCATGAAATACTTGTACTTTATTAAATTTTAAAATAATAAACATAAGATACAAGTCTTTGAATTGTAATTTTCTGTTTTTAATTATATAGTACAGAGGAGAACTGAACCAACATCTTTTAGGAATTAATAACTTTTTTAAAATTGGACGAAACGATCTGAGTTTTTAGTAATTAGGTGAATCAGTTTAATAATTATAGAATTTAGTAGTAAATGATGTCTAAAGAAAATTGAAATTGGTAGACATTGTAAGGTAAAAAAGTTTTTTTCAACTTTTTTAGTTAGGCTTCTAATGAAACTTTGAGTAACACATTTTGAATAATTAAAATGTCCTGACTTTTACTCACTGGGGTTTCTTTTTTGATAATTTTCTATGTAATCTGGAGGCAGTGAGTAGAAATTGTGGCGTGAGCAGAAATTGGGTCATCTACTACATACGCTGAAAATTTCATCGACATTGGCTAACATTCTTTTCAGTTGTAATCAAGTGAAGATGAAGAAAATCGCACATTTTTACGACTTTTGGCCTGAAATTTACATATTTCGATGTTTATCTCTTTTTTCGACGAATTTTAATGATTCAGGATATAGTGATCTCATACAAACGTACAAAATGTACTGTGCAAATTTTTATTGATAGCCCAGATAAAATCTTCACATTTTATCTCATGATTTCTACCAATTTCTATTTCCTCAAAATTTTCTTTACATATCATTTAATAAACTAATTCATCTAAGAGAGAACAATTTTAATTTTGAATTTTAAGCAATTTGATGCGAGAGATTATTCTGAATAAAATAAGAACCAGAGCAAGCTGGAATGTATCAATTAAATGCTAAAACGAATTGTATCTTGATTCTCTGAGAAATAAAAACGTAGAATCGAGTGCCGTAAACTTATATTTCTGGCCAATTTAGTGGGTAAGATTGATAGTCTGCTTTATCGCTCTGCTATCTATCCATTTTATTAGTTTCATATTCTCTGGACGCGATTTTGGGTTTCGTTTTTCCGGATAAAGAATTTTGTTACCAGACGGAGGCGAGATTTGGTTCGTTATGAAAATTTTACTGCCCTCCCTTTACGAGCGTTCCTCGGGGCTTCTTTGCGTTCTTAACCCGGGAACGGGAACGGCAATAGCAATACCAATGGCAAAAGCAACGGGGCTATGTAACCGGGCTCTTTCGAACATGAGTTTCAAGTAGAAGCATCTGCTTCGTTTCGTATGAATAATTCGCTTTCGTTATGGTACAGATGTTTCGCGTTTGCCAAGCGTTTGCCCTCGAGTTCGTCCTGCTCCAATTTTCAACCATCTTTCTTCGATGCTTAAAAGCATTCTCTCTGACAAATTGCCTTAAGTAAACGCGCTTCGAGCCGCGTTACCCCGGATGTTTTCATTCCCAAGATAACGGGAATCTTTCATGACTACCAGCTATAATCCCCGACCGACTTGCTAACAAACAATTTCTAAATCTGTATTATCTATTTAAAAAAAAATAATAAAAGGCAAAGAGATGTAAGAAAAATTCCTTTATACTAAAACTACCCCACGCTAAACGATGTTTTCTAGAAATAGTTTAAGGATGCTTTCATTCCCAGGGTAACGGAAATCTGTCCCGACTAGCCTACAGATTTTATGGATTTATTGTTTACAGAGAAATTATGTGTGCAGAAAATATAAAAAATTCATTCAATGTCCAAGGATTCACAAAATATCCAAAAGTGAAATGCATATTATGATTTTAAGAACATTATTAGAAATTCATAGAAATTCCTACGTAGATTTCATTTTCTACATTGACATTACAAACATTTTATTTTCTATTCATCTACTATTCTAGTCTATTCATGACTGTAATCTCAACCGACTTACTAAGGAATAATTTCTAAATCTGGATTATCTATTAAAAAAAAAATAAAAGGCAAAGAGAAGTGTAAGCAAATGTATGAACAAAATCGGTTTACATGAAAAGTACGGTAAAGAATGTTTTCTAGAAGCCGTTTACGGTCGGTGGGAAGTTGCGAGTTTCCCGTTCGGAGAACGAGGTCTCGCGCCAGCAGTTTATCGCGCCTTCAGTTTCCAAACATTCGATTGGTCTCGTTCCATCCGAGTTACACCTTCTCACCGTATGAATCAACGATCTCGATAAAACGAAAGTCAAACAGTCGGATCGGTTTCGCAGAGGTAAAACCGAGTCAGAGTTGCGGGAATACTTTTCCCCTTGCTGTAAGGAGTTCCACAGTTATCTCTTTGAACTTTATCGTTTTTCACGCGGTGTTAACAACAAACTCGGCCGGTGTACGTGCTTTCTTCAACTTGAAATTGACTTTGAAACTAACGCAGAACGCGTTTTCAGAATACTCTTTTGGTAATTTTCCTTGTGAATTTAGTTCGAGAACTTGATACATATTTTGAGCTCGACCTCGAACGAGACGCTAAACTCATTGGGGGACTCTTTTAGTTGTTTTTTCTTTACCTGCAGGGAATGGCCGGTGCAGAACACGGCCCAGAGGAACGGGACTTTCCACACCCTGGAAGCGACCCCGCAGCCAGCGACCAGACCCACTATTATGCACACTTTTAAAAATAGAAACATCTGTAACGCTCTCCTCCTTTTCATCTTCTCCCGTTGCTTGACCTCTAGCTGCATACTGCAAGTGTACCTGCGAACAATATTAAGTCAAAACAAACTATTTCGGACATTTCTACTCGCAGTTACGCTACTCAACAAAACCATCGCATCACAGCATCAAAATTTGTCCAAGTTTGGAAGATCATTACTCATCTACTTATCGTACGTTAATGAATTTTCTTTTAAATTAAAGCTTCAAGCCTAAAAATTGTAACGGGTTTTTTACGTTCGTTCCAATATGTTTTACTTGTTTTCAAGAAGCAAGTGATGCTTCATCAACTCAGTATTGTCACAACTCACGACGATCATTACCACACTTATTATTACCCAATTATGATCTCATTATTTGAGTTACACTGTACATCCTGCAGTAGCCCGCACTTTAAATCCAAGATAGAATGCGTCTTTTTTTTGTTGGTCTTTTTATTATTTTCTTATGGCCTTATTGTTAACATATACGACAATAAAAATTATTTTATACAAGAAAAAGTTTGAAACCTCTACTTTAAATTACTGTTCACAGATTTTTAATTTGATCTCCTACGATAGATAACGCTTAAATCTAAAGACAAGTTTGAAATAAGAAATTAGCAGTGTCTGACAACGCGCACAGACGTGAATAATTTTTTGTCAACGATGTCATTCACGGCAAGTGGAAGGTAAATTCTTCACCTTTAATTTAAAAGAAAAATTAAGTCTCCATGGCTTTTTCTTCAAATGTTACAGAGAGAAATTTAAATTAAAGAGTAATACTTTTAATTGTGATACAATTTTTCTTATTATACAGATTTAATGTCACAGGACAACCTCGGTTAAAGTAGAAACTTCAAGTTTTAATTTGAGCTATGAACAAAACCAACTAAATCCGTTATTTATTAACGAAGTTATGAACGATTGAAACTAAAGAATCGACTTTCTTAACATTCTTTTTACGATGTTTTCTCTCGATGTTACAGCGGATTATAGGAACGCCTTAAGTTTCGTTGTTCTTGGTTGATATTGGCCAATCCTAATGTCACTATGGGTTGTTTAAAATTCCGTGTATGAGGATAGGGTCGTTTGTTAGAGTAAGACTATGTGTGGATAAAATTGCGTTCGGGATTTGAGTTTTCCAATTTGGAGATTGTCTTAGGGTGAAAGTTCTGTAAGAGGTTTCTTTAAACTGCTGTAAAATCGAGAAAAAAATCGTAGAGTTAAGTTTTGTTTTAAAAAATCAACCTTTCATTTATTGTAAACGACGTAACTGAATGTCAATTATTCTAGTCGGTGCACGTTGTTGAATATTGCTAAATTAAAAATTTTAAATCTCTTTAGATTTAAGCGTTATCTGTCGTAGGATTTTAATTGAAAATCTCTAAATACAATTTTAAGGTAGAGACTTTAAGCTTTAATTTGAAAGAAACGTCCTATGATGATCTGTTCCAACTCGAGCAATTTTCGATACAAATTTCATGATGCCATAATTGTTTTGAGGAGTATTTTCTTCTTGTACATGAGAGTAAGCTGAATTCTTAATTGTATCGGTCCATCAAGGAGTTAAATGTTTAACGAGAGAAACTTAATCGCATTAAGGCTGATACGGTTTGCGCGTTTGAAACGTTAATTCGAAAATCCATACGGATTGTCCTGGTACGAGGAATGCCCGTTCAGAGATCTATAGCAAATCAGCTTGGAACCCGGCTTGTTTCTCCGAATTATAAACATGAAACGTCCACTCGATGGAAATCGAACGAGCGGACCATAAACTGTAACGCACATTTTCCTTTATCTCCCGACGTTTGTCGTTCGTTTCGAGTTGAGTAATAAATCAAGCTGATCTCGATGTATGTACCTGGATACGATTGCAGCTTTAATTAAATAGTAGAACGCGGAAAGAAACAGCAGAATCACCGGCAGACCGTATGCGTATATCGTTGCCTTTGTTCCTAGAAACCTGCAACAAAAATAATAGTTTAAATTTTTAATCTCCAATTTAATCGTTAGTGAATCCAATTTAATCGTTAGTGAATAAATGGTCGTAATAAAGTAACAGCAAATACTGTC